TCCTGTATTACTGATTGGTCGGAAAAAGTGTATATTTAATATATAGCGTCTTTTTATATGCCTAATTTTATCGCACTTATATATTTTTCGACTTATTTATTTATTAGATGGATTCAAGTTCTATGATATTTTTATGTTTTATTTTCAGGATATTGGAGAATTTTTATTGGTGGTGTAGCACCGAACGAAGATTCGAAGCAGGCATTAGATGCAATATGCAATATCAAATCAATTCGTGACCTCCCATATCGTTTATTACAAATTTGACCGTGCCCTTGAACAATTCTAATTTTTATTGGAGAATTTTTACGGAGTGCACATTGCAATATTACAATCAATTACTCCACTTTTACAAGGTTAGGGATTCATTAAAAGTCCAGATGACTTATCCTCACCACAATCAACAGGTTATCCTGCACTTGGAGTGCTTTAGGGAATAACTTTGGACATTCTTATATTCCAAGTGCTCAACTGAATTTTCATAGTTTAGTTTTCCCCTCGAACCAAGCTCATTGGATCTCCATTCAACAATGTAGGATTACCACTATGATCATTCTTTTCATTGTGGATTTTTAAGCCCATTCCTTCTAGCAATTCCTAATTGATGATCAGCCAAATTTTCCTTGTACTTCACATAGTCGATGGAAATAGTACCATTTGTGATCAATTGGCAGAACGGTATTATGTCAACGACGAATATGTCTAGGCTTACCATTATACATGTTGATTTGTGTCAGTTCTTATAGCAGCTTGGATATCACAGTGAATCATCACAGGCGGCAAAGGCTTATTACAACATGGAATATCGGATAAAAAGTTCCGAAGCCACTCGGATCCTTCACCAGCTTTATCTAAAGCAATGAACTCCGATTCTATGGTTGACCGAGCTATACAAGTTTGTTTTGTGGATTTCCACGATATTGCACCTCCTCCAATACAGAAAACATATCCGCCCGTGGGGTGGGAATCTCTCGAACCTGATATCCAGCATGCATCACAGTACCCTTCAAGTACAGCCTGGTATCTCGAGTATCTTAGCTCATATTCAAGGATGTACTTTAAGTATTTAAGTACCTTTTTCAAAGCATTCCAGTGTTCATGACTGGGAGTGCTCGTAAATCTACTCAACTTATTCACCGGATAGGACAAGTCTGGTCGTGTACAATTCGTCAAGTACATCAGACTTCTTATTATCGGTGAATATTCCAACTGAGCTACTGATTGAACTTTATTGGTTACCACATTTATGCTAAGATCAAGGGGTCTCCTGCATATCGGACCTTCATAGGCATTAAATTTCTTGAGCACTTTCTCTACATAGTGAGATTGTGACAAGACAATTCCATCTTGGGTTCTGATAATTCTTATTCCAAGAATTACATCGGCGTTACCCATATCGTTCATGTCGAAATTTCTTTTTAACATTCTTTTCGTTTCCATGATCGCTTCATGGTTATTCCCCATGATCAACATATCGTCTACATATAGACATACAATTACAAATGTATTTGAAATACTCTTAACATAAACACATTTGTCAAATTCGTTGATTTTGAAATCATTTCACAACATCACATCATAAAATTTCAAATCCCATTATTTCGGAGCTTGTTTCAGTCCATATAAGGATTTGATCAATCTGCACACCTTTTTCTCTTGTCCAGGTGCTACAAAGCCTTTAGGTTGTTCCATGTAAACTTCTTCTTCTAAACCACCATTTAAAAATGTCGTCTTGACACCCATTTGGTGTATCTCAAGATTGTGCAAAACAACAATCGAGAGAAGCACTCTTATCGATGCTAAACGCGTAACTAGTGAATAGGTATCAAAGAAGTCATACCTTTCTTTTTGTTTAAAGCCTTTTACCACCAATTGTGCTTTAAACTTATCAATCGTTCCATCAGCTTTATATTTCTTCTTTAGGATCCAATTGCATCCTAAAGGTTTACAACCCGCAGAGCGATCAACCAACTCCCAAGTATGATTTTGCATAACGGACTCGATTTCGCTATTTATAGCTTCTTCCCAGAGTGGTCCATCTGGGCTGGATAGAGCTTCCTTAAGGGAACTCGGTTCATCGTTGATGTAGCACACCTTCGAACAAAAGGGAGAACAAGATATAAAATCTCAAATCTGTAATATTATTCAATCAATCGTCGAACTTAAGAGAGGGGAAGAGAATAAATAGAGTCCCAACATGCTAGGTTTCCTATCTTGCTAACCAGTTAAATAATACTTAAGCAAATACCAACTAGAATAAGAAAAATAAAGAAAAAATAATAAAATAGCTGGGAATTAGATTAATGAAGGCATCCGATCATATTTCTACAGAAACGTCAACGCGATCTCGTCTCCATCATCCTCCCCCGGTTGGGAAGGATTCGCCCTCAAATCCGGATCGATCTCGTTTCCGTTCAAATTATCACCCAGAAATGGCACGAGATGTTTGACGTTGGATATGTTAGAAGTCTTCAAATGCGACGGAAGCCGGAGGCGGTAGGCATTTGGGTTAATCTTCTCAATTGTCTCAACGGGCCCAATTTTACGAGCACACAATTTGTTATAGTCATGTGCCGAGAAACGATCCTTGGTGAGGACGGCCCAAACAAAATACCCCACTGCGAACTCGACGTAACGGCGACGGGAATCATCCCGTTTCTTGTAGGCCGCCGTCACGTCCACGAAACGCTATCGGGCCGCGTCATGAGTACGTCGCTGGTCGGCCATAAGGTCCTTCGCACGGCGGTCCGCGGTCTCCATCGAAGGTAAGGCGATCAAGTCGGTGGCGCCACGTGGTCGAACCGCATATACCACTTCAAAAGGAGAAAACCCAGTCGCCCGACTCAAGGCCGAGTTGTGGGCAAACTCCGCCTGACTCATCTTCTGATCCCAACTACGCAGGTTCTCGCCGACCAGACAGCGCAACAAATTTCCGAGGGAGCGATTGACGACCTCCGTCTGACCGTCAGTTTGAAGTTGATAAGCACTACTGAATTCCAACTGCGTGTCGGCAAGGCGCAAAAAACTACGCCAGAAATAGCTAAGAAAGCACGTGTCGTGGTCAGAAACAATAGAAGTCGGAAGACCATGCAAACGATACACCTCTCGAAAGAAAAGTTGGGCCACGTGGATAGCATCCACAGTCCGTTTGCATGGTATGAAATGGACCATCTTCGAAAAGCGGTCGACAACAACAAAGATAGAGTCATGACCCCGCTGGGTCTGGGGCAGGCCCAAAACGAAATCAATACTATTAGCACTCCACGGGCGAGAAGGGATCGGCAAGGGCCTATATAGTCCAGCGTTGGATACAACGCCCTTTGACACCTGACAAACCCGAAACCTTCCAACAAAACAGGGAACATCATGGCGTAAAGAAGGCCAGAGAAAAGAACAACGTACCAAATCGATGGAGCGATCACGCCCCACGTGCCCTACCCCATGCAGATCCGCACAACCTTCATGTGAAGGCTACAATCAGGAAGACATAACCGGACCCCGCGAAACAAAAAGGCGTCAGACAGAGCATAATCCTCAAAAGGACCCGAAGAGAGGCGTGACACCACGGGGCAGAAAAAAGGATCAGAAGCATAAAGATCCTGCAGTAAATCAAATCCGATGACCGAAACCTGCAGGTCAGTCAGCAACAAGGAACGACGGCTCAAGGCATCCGCCACGCGGTTAGAAGCACCCGAGCGATGTTTCAGCACGAAGGTAAATTGCTGCAAGTAAGAGGTCTACGTCGCATGGCGGGCAGAAATGTTGTCCTAAGAATAGAGATGGCGCAAAGCCTCATGGTCGGTAGAAAAGACGAACTCTCGCTGAAAGAGATAGTGACGCCAGTATTGAACAACACGATAAACAACATAGAACTCGACATCATAGGTGTTGTATCGCAGATGAGGGTCAGACAACTTCTCGCTGAAGAAGGCGATGGGTGGTCCATCCTGACTAAGAGCCACACCGATGCCAACCTTAGAAGCATCACACGAAAGCTCGAACGGAATAGAAAATTTGAGAAGAGCAAGGACTGGAGCAGCCGTGAGCTTGCCCTTGATAAGGGCAAAAGCCTCCACTGCCCGAGGAGTCCAAACGAATTGTTTGCCGATAAGACAGTCTATAATCGGTGCAGTAATAGAACTGAAGTGGGAGATGAAACGATGGTAGAAAGAGGCTAGGCCGTGGAAGCTGCGAGCTTTCGTGAAACAAGTCGGTGTGGGCCAATCGTGAATAGCTGCCACCTTGCCCTCGTCAATGCGAATGCCGCCAGCCGAAATAACGAATACCGAGTCGACAACAAAAGAACACTTCTGGGGCGCCCATAAAAGCACTCGGCGCGCAAAATCTGTAGAAGCGAGCGGACATGCTCCAAGTGTTCGTCCACGGTCCGACTGTAGATGAGAATATCGTCGAAATAAACGACGACGCAACGCCCAATAAGGTCCCGTAAAGCCTGGTTCATCACCTGCATGAATGTACTGGGTGCATTCAAAAGACCGAACGGCATCACAAGCCACTCAAAAAGACCCTCATGGATCTTCCATTCGTCGCCTGGCCGGATGCGAATCTGATGATAGCCACTTCGGAGGTCCAGCTTGGTAAAGAGCGCAGCACCATGCAATTGGTCCAACAAATCGTCAAGGCATGGAATGAGGAACCGATATCGGACTGTGATTTTATTAATGGCACGGATATCAAGGCACATACGCCATGAACTGTCTTTTGGAATGAGTAAAACCGGGACAGCACACGGGCTCAACCTACAACGAACGACACCACGTTGTAGGAGTTCCTCCACCTGACGACGCAACTCCTCATGTTCTGCCGAGCTCATGCGATATGCGGACGGTTCGGCAGAGAAGAACCCGACACTAAATCGATATGATGTTGGATATCCCGAAGCGGTGGAAGGCCAGAAGGTAACTCATCCAGGAAAACGTCAGAAAATTTCCTCAAGTAATGGCAGAATAACGGCCGGTGGTGAACCATCCGTCCCAACGTCAGTCCCTAGGAGAAGAAGGACAAACGGTGCCGTCAGCATCTCGTGGACGAAAGCTGCACGAGAAAGAAAAAAAACCAACGAAGGGGTGTCAGTAGATAAAGGGCAAAGAGGGGATGGATGAAGTACCAGTCGAACGCCCTCAAATAAGAAGCTATAAGTGTTGAGGCGTCCATCATAAACCACCGGGCGATCGAACTGCCATGGGCGACCCAACAAGAGATGACACACGTCCATAGGGACAACGTCACACCATGCCGTGTCCCGAAATTTAGGGCCGATCGAAAAATGCACCAAAACCCGTCGATTCACAGTAATGGAGTTGCCACGCTGAATCCATGCTAAATTATATGGGTGAGGATGGGGTTCGGTCGACAACTGAAGGCGGTCAACGGCATCTTGAGCAACCACATTTTCACAAGAACCGGTGTCGATTATGAAACGGCACACCTTACCGCCCTCTGTACATGTTGACTCAAACAGATTATGGCGTTGAAGAGAATCTTCAGATGATGCCCGATGCGAGAGACACGAACGTCGGAGAACCGACGCCGGTCCCACATCACCCAGTAAATGCTCCTCAGTCGGCCCGGGCTCCTCGTAAAAAACCGGCGGGCCATCATACACAACCCCCCTGTTACCGTCGAAATCAAAATATGTCACCAAGGCGCATGAACCACCACGACGTGGACAGGCCGATTGCCGATGGCCCGTCTCGCCGCATGAAAAGCAACGTGGCCCACCGCCCTTTCCCGAGCTATCAGTACCCGGAGACTGTCCAAACCCAATAGCTGCACTTGACGTCCCACCCATGGCCGTCAAACCTGAGGACCCTGGTGCGCTGCTATGGCTGAACGGAGGCCCACCCAACGCTGCTGAACGCGCTGGAGCAGAAGCGGAGGATGCCGGCAGATTCGTGTGCGGTTGAAAACTGGTCGGTGAAAGTGGATGTCGGGATTGCTGTTGTTCGACGAGTAAAGCCCGGTGGTGAGCGGCCGAAACACTTTCCAGCGAGAACATATTCAGCATGTCGCGGATGCCGACCCACAATCCTCCAACATAACGCGACACCAATTGATTCGGTGTGTCGCGTATTTTAACCCGATTGAGAAGACGATAGAAATCGTTGGTATACTCGTCCACGGATCGAGCACCCTAGCGTAAATTATGAAGTTGTTGGTACATAGTACTCACATAATTGAAGGGAAGAAATTCTCGCTCGATGTGTTTCCAGAACGTGGCACACGACGCAATTTTATGTTTCCCCATCTGCCGTTGTGATTCCATCAGGTGCAGCCACCTAGCGATCCCACTCCCGCGCAGTCGTGTAGCAATGAGACCCACCCGATGACTGTCTAGTACCTCCTTGTAATCCAACACCGACTCGACCGAGCCAAGCCAGTCGAGAAAATCAGCCCCATCGAGTCCACCCGAAAATTCAGGAATACGCACGCGAAAGGCAGCCTCGCAACGCCGTTCACCGGTCGTTGCTACCTCGTTCCGTGGATCCTCCATCCCGAACGGATTATATGCCTCCTCTGTGCCATCAGATTCCTCGCCGCCCTCCTCCTCGCACGACGCTCGCTGCCTGCCATCACCACGTGGATGACCACGACCCCCGCGACCACCACGCATCCCCCCGAGACCGCCGTCTCGTCCGTCGAGCCCATCGCGGTTTATGCCGTCGCGTTGCAAAATCGTTTGGAGAGTCAACCTGATGTCCTCCATGCCCTCCGAGAGGTCCGTCCTCACACGACCAATTGCTTGAAACTGCCGGCCAAAACCCTCGCCTTGTCGAGTGAGGGAAGCAATCGCAGCATCTCGCTGTCGTCGGCCGTTTCGTTACTCTTGGGCGGCATCGTGGATCATAGTTGATCTCTGATTACCAATCGATGTAGTGCAGCTTCGAACAAAAGGGAGAACAAGATACAAAATCTCAAATCTGTAATATTATTCAATCAATCGTCGAATCCTCAGCGAAGGGCCGAGCCGCGGGTAAGCTTTTACTTGGTGCGTAGGCCCCTTTGATCCACATCCACTCGATTGAAATGCTTTGGACTTCTTTGACTGAACTTCGCTTCGCTTCTAAAGTTGGGGAGAGAAACTTTCTATCTAGGCTTCAAGCTCCGTGATTGGTCGATTTCCTTGGCTTCATCACTAATCTGTTACGATCACCTCTTCTCAATGTAATCGACCCTTTGCTTTGCCTCTTTGCTACCACGATCACATCCCTGGCTTCGCTTAGTTGGCTTAGATATATCCGAAAGAAATAGAGCTTGGACGATGTCCATGGCTCGATAGAAGTAGGGGCCGATAGGCTTCTATGACAGTTGAGATCTTAAAAGCGTCAGAATTTTCTGCACAATAAACTAGCTTTAAATACTCTGCTCCTTGCGATAGGGTGCGGGACGCTAGGCCACAACAGAAGGATATCCAAGCCAGTAAAGTCGGTCATCCTCTCCCAGATGTCCAGTATGAGTTACTCCAGCCACTTAAGGATTGGGTGTTCACGCCGTTTCTCCGTAATCCCCATAACCCTTTGAGCTGAGAAGATGGGTAGAGGGCTTGCAAGTTAAAGGAGAAGGGCAGTGGTTAAGGAGTCGATCATCCTAGCATTTGGTCTATGATCCTTTTTTCCATCCGTCTTAGAACCTTTTTAACGCTCGACCAAACAAACTTTTCGAAGCTAAGTGAAGTCAAAAGTATTAGTGACATAGGGGGATAGCCAGACAGAGAAATTAGCCTTCACGAGGCTCCCATAGGGTCTATTCCACCAACATCAACTGAGGGACCAATCGCAGACTGCTAGATCTAGACCAGCTGCTTGAGATCCAACAACTATAACTATTAGCTAAACAAAAGGAACTGCTAATGGGCATTCGAATCCCTGAGAGAGAGTTAATAGGAAGGAAGATGGCTCTGGATTCACTAGGCTTTCGCTGGCTAGAAGCTTCGAGAGAAAGTAAAAGAGATGATGTGGTTGAAAAGGGCAGCAGGGCTCGCTCTACCCGACCCGATCTTACTTTTGTTGTTTCCTGACTGACAAGTCAATCGGCGAAGGTTTTTGGTGACAAGACCTGGAGATATCAGAAGTGAGAATGCTGACATGAGTAACGAGAAATCCTGTCATTTAAATTTCCTCAACAACTCTCGTCACTGTTTAGCTCTTGCCCCTTTGGGGCGGAAGAAGAAAGAAAAAAAGAGAAAGGAGGAGGAAGCTATTTAGTTTACGCGTGTGTGGCTGTCTAGCTTAAGCTTCCACTGGAAAAGCTCCAAGCCGGTATCGGCAAAAACCCCAGCCTAAAGCTAAAGAAGGCTTTGATGTAATTGACCATTTTAACGCTCGACCATACAAACTTTTCGAAGCTAAGTGAAGTCAAAAGTATTGGTGACATAGGGGGATAGCCAGACAGAGAAATTAGCCTTCACGGGGCTCCCATAGGGTCTATTCCACCAACATCAACTGAGGGACCAATCGCAGACTGCTAGATCTAGACCAGCTGCTTGAGATCCAACAACTATAACTATTAGCTAAACAAAAGGAACTGCCAATGGGCATTCGAATCCCTGAGAGAGAGCTAATAGGAAGGAAGATGGCTCTGGATTCACTAGGCTTTCGCTGGCTAGAAGCTTCGAGAGAAAGTAAAAGAGATGATGTGGTTGAAAAGGGCAGCAGGGCTCGCTCTACCCGACCCGATCTTACTTTTGTTGTTTCCTGACTGACAAGTCAATCGGCGAAGGTTTTTGGTGACAAGACCTGGAGATATCAGAAGTGAGAATGCTGACATGAGTAACGAGAAATCCTGTCATTTAAGTTTCCTCAACAACTGTCGTCACTGTTTAGCTCTTGCCCCTTTGGGGCGGAAGAAGAAAGAAAAAAAGAGAAAGGAGGAGGAAGCTATTTAGTTTACGCGTGTGTGGCTGTCTAGCTTAAGCTTCCACTAGAAAAGTTCCAAGCCGGTATCGGCAAAAACCCCAGCCTAAAGCTAAAGAAGGCTTGATGTAATTGACCTTGCTACTGGATGAATAGCCTTAACGTCATTCCATAAACTAAGGTATACTATTCCACAGGGTAGAGCAGTCGATCAAGAAGGGCGTCTAAGCGATCAAGGAGACATTATGGCATAACCCAGAAAGACTTTTCTTAGTATTTTCCTATTACTAAAACCGCCCAAGGGCCGACTGGTACACCCGGGCGACTAGGACTCTCTTTGGATCACGATTTCAAAGAGAGGGGAAGAGAATAAATAGAGTCCCAACATGCTAGGTTTCCTATCTTGCTAACCATGTAAATAATACTTAAGCAAATACCAACTAGAATAAGAAAAATAAGGAAAAATAATAACATAGCTAGGAAATAAATAATTATATTAATGAAGGCATCCGATCATATTTCTGCAGAAACGCCAACGCGATCTCGTCTCCATCAATCGTCCAACATATACGTAATAAAATTAGGTTTAGACGTTTTCGCCGTTTCTACCCTCTTGCCACGTCTCGGTTCTTCTTCTTTATCTTCAGTGTCATCTGGTAAATAACCGCTCACAGTATCATACGTCCTTTTGTTAGAACTAGATTCTGCATTTTCCTTTAGAGGAAAAATAATCTCAAAGAAAAAAGCATTCCTCGACTCAATTGTGGTACCAACAGATACCTCTGGATTTTCTGATTTATTAACCAGAAATCTATATGTTGTACTTGTAACGCCCCACTTTATTTTAAAATATTTATCGAATTTATTTATAAAAATCATAATAAATTATTCGCAAATCTCAAATTAAATTTTAAATTTAGTGGGCGCTACTTAACTACCAAGAACTTTTAACCGAAAATACAAACACTTCAGATAAAATCGGTACATGCATGATTACTAATTATCAAACTTCACTTGCATTCAATAAGTCCAAAATCATAAGGGCAATTTATAATTTAAGGTCTCAAGTGATGTAATAAAAAATATCCCAAATCAACATAAGTTCATAAAAGCGGAAGCAATAATAATCATAAGTAAAATAAAATAGACCACCACTCGCTTTGCCTCGTCACCCGCCAACTGCTTAACCTGCATCCGTGAAGAGCAGGTGTCGTACCCCGCCTTACTAGCTTTGAAAAATCAGAGTAAAATTTTTTTGTTTTTATTTTCGAAAGGTTGTGCGAGCTTGGTCTTCGAAAATATTAACTTATTGCGGGATGTCACAGATAAAAACTTACTTAACTTACTCACAGACATCAATAAAACATGCAACCAAGCTATCCGCTGCGGATAATGGAATTAAACATGCAATGTCTGAACTGTCTCGCACTGTCTAAGTCTGGCTAACGGAAGCATCCGAAATACTGAATACATACATACATAACTGAATAATTACATGATCATAAACTAGGACATAAAAATGTGCGTAAAATATTTCTAGACTCTCATGACCACGCTTCGCCACGTCTGTGCTCATTCGGCACGCTCGACTCCGTCTCCTGAAAAACACAACGGGGGCATGAGCAAACCACTATGCTCCGCAAAGACCAGTACTGAATAAAACATCATTTATAATAACGTGTCATGAACATATATATATAAGAGCTGAAACTATAAACTTTTCTTTTTTTGCTTTTCTGTGGTCAAAATACCCTCGGCCCTTAGGTCGGCCGCTCGCGTACACACACCGATGGGATATAAAGGCCCTTAGGTCGGCCCCCACCGGTCACCAGATGGGATATTTAAGCCCTTAGGTCGGCCTCCACCTAGAGAACTAACTGTCTCAAATATACCTCTGCCATGGTACAGATATTATACATGATGTGGAATCCAGTACCGG